TCTCTCGACTATAGGGACATGGAGGGCCCAGGACAGCGGACGCTGGACCTATGTCCCACTCAGTCACAGCACAGGATGATCTAACGGGAAGCCCCCTGGGCCCTCCCGCCCCCCGCCCTCCGCCCACCCCAGAGCCCGGCTCACCCAGCTCTGACAGCTCGTGCGAATCGGTGAAACGACCTGGGGAGAAGACACAGGAGGAGGCGTCGGTGCGCGGTGGCCTCACCCTGCGGCTTCGGGGCCCTGGACGTCCCCTCCCTACGCCCTACGGGAACCTGGAAGGAACTTCTCGAGCACAGCGACCACTACCCTGACTCCGCAGAGAGGGGAGCCAGTGGGGTCAGAGGTCAGAGCCCTGAAGGAACGGGTCAAAGGTCAGGGTGGCACCTGCCAGCAGGTAACTGAGGCCCCGCACTGCCGTCTCCAGCTGGGCCGTGGCGGCCGGGTGACGAGTCACGTACTCCTGGTAGCGCAGGCCCAGGAGCCGCAGCTTCTCCATCCTGCCCTCCGGACCGACAGACTCACGCATCGACAGTCCGCCTGGCCGCGGCGCCCTGCTTCCTGAGCCCTCCTTCCTGCTTCCGGTCCTAGGCCCGCCTCTCGGTTGCTTAACTTCCGCGGGCCCGAAGGAGGGTGAGGTGAAGGGCCACCGAACCACTCTTCACCCCATTTTAGACCACCTCCCACTGGGGGAGCGCTTAGCAACTGCGGGCTGACCCTTCAGGTCATTGGCTGGCCCCCTCCGCCCTCTCCGCCCCTCTCCGTCCCTCTCCGCCCCGCGCCGTCAGCCCGGCTCTTCCGCCTTCCGGGTTGGCGTCCCTTGCGCCTGCGCAGTTGCCGCCCCAGGAAGGCTCCCGCGGCAGTCTGAGCAGTCCATTCCAGAGAAGGGGCCGTCAGCCTACAGCCTTTCCAATAGAGCGCCGAAGGCTCGAACGGGAGGACAGGATTTTAAAGGGCTGGGAGGTAGCGTGTGGAAATCTCCTCCATCAGATTTGGGGAGTTTAAGGACAGTCGGATTGTGTCTCAGCGGCCGCGCGTTGGGCCAGCTGCCTCGTCTCCCATCCTCCACTGGACGTAGTGCTGAGGAAACTGAGGCAGCGAGGACTCCAGCTTCCCACGCAGTCTCGATCCCCTGGCCAGCACCGTTAGTGCTCTGGCTTCAGCCCCAGGGGCATGGTCTGTGCCCCCTAAGAGCGCGCACGCGCACGCCCACCTCCACGGAGAAAACCCTGGCTCGGACTTCTGCTCTCGGCTTGGGGTGACCTTGGTCGGGAGTTTCCCTTCTCCGGGTCTCGGGTTTCCCCAGCTGTAAAGTGATTTGAGAGCACACTTGGTCCTTGAACTCGGGATCAATCTCAAAGTGCTTTTCGGCCGTCGGATGCACCTCCCGGTCCTCAGCTGCTCCCCAAGGAATGGAGGCGACTCCTGGGCATCGCCTCCCTGGAAGGGGCGGCGGCGAGAGCCGAGCAGCGGGAGCAGGCTGGAAAGGATGCTCCAAGCAGGCAGCCACTGATTGGCTGTGGGGAAAGGGGCGGGGCATGGGTGGGGCGGCGGGGCTGTGTGGTTGGGACCCGACTCGCAAGTTTACAGGACCCTGAGAATAGTAGCACGTTGTTTTATTTAATCCCCTCTACCACATGTTATCTGCAGATGAGAAAAGGATCCTCTTAAGAAGCCCAGTCAAGATTCGAATCCTGGTCTAGTCTGACCACAGAATCTAGGCATTTTTTTTGTTTTTTTGGAGGAAGATTAGCCCTGAGCTAACTTCTGCCAATCCTCCTCTTTTTGCTGAGAAAAACTGGCTCTGAGCTAACATCCGTGCCCATCTTTCTCTACTTTATATATATGGCTTTTGCCAAGCGGTGCCATGTCCGCACCTAGGATCCGACCCAGGGAACTCTGGGCCGCTGAGAAGCCGAACGTGCGAACTTAACCTCTAAGCCACCGGCTGGTCCCAGAATCTAGGCGTTTTAAGCAATACACCTCACCAGGAAGCCACAGCCCCTCCTTGTGCTCTTCCCCCCCCGCCCTCCTCCTCAGCTAGTTTCCTTCTATATCAGACCTCCTTACTCAGGCCAAGGAATGAAGATCCAGGGAGATGAGTCCCCGGGCCTCAGAAGAAGCAAAGTTCTTGGAGAACAGAGATGGTCATGGGCATTCGCATCATTTCTCACCACCTCCTGGGTGCCAGCCTCACTTACACATGACTCCTTCCAGCAACCTTGCCGGGTTGCCAAGAATTCCTTTGCACAGGTGAGGAAGAAGAAGCCCAAGGAGAGGAACGGACTTGTCCCAGGCCACATAGCATGGCATGGGTCAAACAGACTACAATGCAGGTGTCCCATGGCAGTGCCCTCTCTCCTACTGCCCACAGCCCAGCAAGAGCAGTGACATGTTGAGGCTGCTGGGTCATGAGTCAAGTTGGTAACTGGGATTAAGCCCAGGGCTCAGGGCATTTGGCGTGAGGCTCTTCCTCCCTTCCTCCCCGCACCCCTCCATCTTGATGAACTTGTTCCGCAAACCTCGTGGCGGGGGTGGGGGGGGGGTCTCCTCCAGCCCCTCCCTCAGCAGCCTGGAGAGCATGAGGAGGGGGCAGTGTGAGGTTCTTTGGCACTCCCAGGGCTGGTGGGCTGGTGCTTGTGGGGAGGACAGAGGAGCAGCCTCTCCCGGACAGAATATGAGGGGCACCAGGGCTGTTTCTTGTCCCTCCGTCCAGGACTGAGAGGGCCTCATGGTCCCAGCCAGGTTGGCAGCGGCAGGACTCCCTGAATTTCCTCTCCAGATCCCAGGCCTGATTAACTCCCAGAGACAAAGAGTGGCCGTGTGTGTGCAGGAGGCGCCCGGGGCGGCCCCTCCCTGCTGGGTGCCTGCCTGGATTTGGTCACCTGGCTGGGCTGGAAGGGCCTCTGAGCAGGTTGGGCCAGATCCTCCCTCCTTCAGTCTGCCCTGAGCCACAGAAGCCAGCTAGATCAGCCCAACAGGTAGAGACGAGGACACTGAGGTCCAGAGAAGAGGCCTGACTGGTCCAAGGTCACACAGCAAAGTCCTGGGACAAACCAGGGCTCAGGCCTAGAAGACCAGCCCCCTTTCATATGCCCACAGTGTATCCTTTTCCCCCTCCACGCCCCAGAAGAACCTCTTGGAGGCCCAGCATGCATCTCAACACCTAATTTCCCCTGCGTCGTAAGGCTGAGTGAGGGATGGGGCCAATGTTATGAGTGACCACGGTCGCTCTGCAGACCCAGCCCCCCCCCCCCCCAAACTCCCCGGCCAGGCCCCGACTTTGTGTCCTCGCTGCTCTCTCACATGTAACCCCCACAGACAGTCTCTGTGGAGGGTCCTGTGGGGGATTCGCCCACCTCCACCCCAGCTCCAGGCTAGAGATGAGGGTCGAGGGGCATGAGGCTCAAAGCTCCTGATGCCCAGGTGGCCCCTGCTCCCCTCGTCTCCTCTGGTTCCCAGATGTACAAGGAGCCGCCATCAGTCTGCATGGCAACCATTGGTCCTGGCCTCCGAAGGCCCAAAGCCCCGCCTTCCTTGCAGACCCCCATCTCCCAGAGGAAGGCATCCTAGCCTTTCAGAGGAGGAGACTCGGGGGTCTCAGGCTGGGCTGCTTTGCCACAGCTTCTTTTGGAGTTGGGGCCTCTTAGGCCCTCCCTTTTTTTTTTTTTTGAGGAAGATCAGCCCCGAGCTAACATCTGCCACCAATCCTCCTCCTTTTGCTGAGGAAGACTGGCCCTGAGCTAACATCCGTGCCCATCTTCCTCTATTTTATGTGGGATGCCTGCCACAGCATGGCTTGATAAGGGTTGTGTAGGTCCACACCTGGGATCCGAACCGGCAAACCCTGGGCTCCCGAGGCGGAACGTGTGAACTTAACCACTGTGCCACGGGGCAGGACCCCAGGTCCTCACTTTTTATAGCTAGAAATTGGGCTAAAGATCACAGTTTGAGCCCCCTTCTAGCTCAGGGCAAGGCCCGGGGAGTGCTGTCAGTTTTCAGCTCACTTCCTCAGTGCTTATGGTATGTGCCGGGCCCTGGTTGGGCGCTGGGGCCCAGTCCAGGAGCAGCTCCCTTGGAGGAGGAAGACACACCCAGGTCAACTTGCCCGGAGTGCTAGAAGAAATAAACCAAGGGATGTGGAAGGAGGAGCCGGCCTCCCGAGAATCTGGCAGAATCTGGCCAGGAGGAACATGAAGGGCAAGTCCTGGGGCAGCACAAACTCTGTCTGCTGGGTAGAGGCCGGGGAAGGGGCGCGAGGATGACGGCTGTGTCACAGGCCTGACGTGAGCATTCACTGAGATGAGGCGCTGGAACCTGGGCCTGGCGCGAAGCATATGCGCTCGATGACCCGCGGCTCTTCTTGTTCACGGTCTGGAGCGCCCATCACCCCTTCCAGGGCAGAGGCCGGGGTGCGAGGGGGGCGGAGGGAGAGATCCAGGCGGGGCGCGGGCACAATCGTGATCGTCTAGACAAGTTGGGGGGATCCCGGCCCTGCCAGGTCTCCCGTGAGGCAGGCCCGTTGCCAGCTCCCGGGCAGGAGGCGACCTTCTCAAGGCCGCTTTGTCTGGGCGCGCCGGGCCCAGTCGGGCCACCTGGCCTGAGCAGGGGTGAAGGGAACGGGAGCGGGGAGGAAAGCAGGGCCTCCAGGTGCTCCGCGGCTCCCGGCCCCGCCTCCTGTCCCCAGAGCAGGTGTCCCCAACCCCCGCGGCCCAGCGTTCCAACCCTCTCCTCCTTACTCCGGCTGCCCCTTTGATCCCGGGCCAGGGGTCACGGGCCCCTCCCCCGGGGTGGGGGGGTGAAAAGAGGAGATGGGGCCGCAGAGCAGGGAAGAGGGGGACGGGCTCAGAGCAGGTAGCCGGGACTCGGTCTTCCTGGGTGGCTGCCCCCGCTCCCTCCAGCCATCCTGGGGGTTCTCGGGGTTCCCCGGCGGCTGAGGGGGCCGTTGGATGCCGGGGCAGGGGGCGGGGCCAGGCTCCGGGGGTCTCCCCGCCCCTTCGGGCTCAGCCAAGCCGAGGTGAAACCTGAACCCAGGTTGGGGGCGGGGCTGGCTCCTGCTCGGACGGGGCCGCCCTGTGCCTCCAACCCCCTATCCCTGCGCCCCGGCCGGCTTCTGGAGGAGGAAGGTCGCGATCCCCGAGCCGCTGGAGCAGGTGAGGGGGGGACTCAGCGCGGGAGGGAGGACCGGGCGGCCGTCGGGCCCCGCCGCCCGAGGCTGACCCTTCTCCCCGGCCTTCCGGTCCCCAGAACCCGCGATGGAGCCCGCAGCCCGGGGTCGCGCTCCGCCCTGAGTGCCCCCGCCGGCGGCCATGCTGCCCCGAGGGCGCCCCCGGGCGCTCGGGGCCGCCGCGCTGCTGCTGCTGCTGCTGCTGCTCGGATTCTTCCAGTTCGGCGGGGACCTGGAGTGTGAGCGCCGCGGGCGGGCAGGCGAGCGGGGGGGCCCGGATCCCGCCCCTGCGCGCTGACGCCACGTGTCCCCCCAGACGGGCGGCCGCGGGGGGCTGCTGCCCTCGACGGAGCCCCGCCGGCGGACCCCGGGGGCCACAACCGCTCGGACTGCGTCCAGCCGCGCCCGCTGGCGCCCAAGTGTGAGGTGGGTGCGCCAAGCGCGCGGCCCCTGGCGGCGGGGAGCCCGGGGGCGCCGCGTCCCCACCCGGCCACCTGGGCATCTGTGGGAATCACAGCACCTGGCAGCGGCGCCGGCGCCTCGGTTCGCACATCCGCTGCTCCCGGCCTCGATTTCCCCGTCTGTGAAGGAGGGGGATGGACCCCTGCTCCGCATCCCCGTCCGTTTCCTAGCTCTGCTGCCGGGTGGGGTTACCCTGCCCCAGGCCAGGCCACTCCAACAGGGGTCTTCCCCGTCTAGTGGAGGAGGGGGCTGCTGCCGACCTCGGTGTCCCCTCCCCAGCTCTTGCACGTGGCCATCGTATGTGCGGGACATAACTCCAGCCGAGACGTCGTCACCCTGGTGAAGTCTATCCTCTTCTACAGGTACAGCCAGGTGTCAGAAGGGAGGGTCAGGAGTGGGGAAGGGAACAAAGTCTTGTGCAGGGTCTCAGAGCCTCAGCTTCCCCCATCTGTGACCTGGGGACACCGGCCCCTTCCTCCCTTGAAGGTGGGTGGAGGAATTTCCTGCCCTGGGTATGAAAAGCTCTTTACAGAAGTTGGTGCTGCTACCTCTGAGCCCCTCGAGGTGGGGCTTGTCCCAGGTTGCTCCTTCTGGGGCCCATCGGCCTTCCTCTTTTGTCCTCCCCAAAGGAAAAACCCGCTGCACCTCCACTTGGTGACTGATGCGGTGGCCAGGAGCATCCTGGAGATGCTCTTCCACACATGGATGGTGCCCGCTGTCCGGGTCAGCTTCTACGACGCTGATGAGCTCAAGGCAGGAGCCCTGGTCCTTCTGCGCCCCTCCCCAGCTGTGCCCGGCCCTCTCCTTCCACCTGGGGGGGGGCGCAGATTAGAGCTGCCTGGGACCCCCAGCCCCATCGCACCTACTGAAGTTCAAGTCCCTGCCCCTCCCGGGGCTCGCCCCTTCTTCCTGTGTCACCCTGAGTCTGCCTGGCACTCGTGGGCCCTTCTCTGCCAGCCTCGTGCCCTGTCCTTTCCACCCACAGCCCCAGGTCTCCTGGATCCCCAACAAGCACTACTCTGGCCTATACGGGCTCATGAAGCTAGTGCTGCCTGGCACCCTGCCCCTTGACCTGGCCCGTGTCATTGTGCTGGACACAGATGTCACCTTCGCCTCTGACATCGCAGAGCTCTGGGCACTGTTTGCTCACTTTTCTGGTGAGAGGCCTGGGACCCTGCCCCAGCCAGCTCCCTCCCTGGCCCGTCCAGGTGCCCGTGTGGCCTAGCCCTGAGCCGGGTCCAGGGGCAGCCTCAGGCAGCTCCCTTGTGCCCTCCCCTCCCAGACGAGCAGGTGATTGGTCTCGTGGAGAACCAGAGCGACTGGTACCTGGGCAACCTCTGGAGGAACCACAGGCCCTGGCCTGCCTTGGGCCGGGGCTTCAACACAGGTGGGGACAGCGGAGGGGGAGGCAGGGCGGGTGGCCACGGGTGCTTGGGCCCCAGGGACTGGGCAGGGCACAGAATGCTAGGAAGAATAGAGCTGTGGAAGGAACGCTGGGAGAAGAGCCAGAAATCGGTTCTGACGTTAGCTGAACATACCAGATGACTTTGGCCAAGTTCCTTGGTCCCTCTGAGCCTCAGTCTTCTCACCCGTTAAATGGGGATGATTTTACCAGCCCTGGGATCACGGAGTGCGAGATGACCTTGGAGTTGCTCTGTAAGCTGTGCGGTGCCTCCCCTTTACCCCTAAGAGGATTGGTGTGGACAGAGGTGGTCCATCCTCGCGTGTGAACAGTCAGAAAATACCACTAAGTCAAACAATGAACGTGCAAAAGACAACTTCGTGGCGCCTGGCCCCAGGGGTTGGGGCGTCCCGGGTGGGCATGACAACCTGTCCCCGTGGGCAGGCGTGATCCTCCTGCGGCTGGACCGGCTTCGGCAGGTGGGCTGGGAGCAGATGTGGAGGCTGACGGCTACGCGGGAGCTCCTCACCCTGCCCGCCACCTCGCTGGCTGACCAGGTCTGGGGGAGCCTTTGGAAGGGAGGCTGGGCAGGCTTGGGGCCCAGGTGTGACGGCTGTCTCTGCCCAGGACATCTTCAATGCCGTCATCAAGGAGCACCCGGGGCTGGTGCGGCCCCTGCCCTGCGTCTGGAATGTGCAGCTGTCGGACCACACGCTGGCTGAGGGCTGCTACTCGGAGGCGTCTGACCTCAAGGTGGGCGGGGACGGGGGGCTGAGTGGTGGTGGTGGGCCAAGGATGGGGACTCCCGCTCCCTGCTCCCATGCCCACACCGACGCCCTCCTGGGTCCCAGGTGATCCACTGGAACTCACCAAAGAAGCTGCGCGTGAAGAACAAGCACGTGGGGTTCTTCCGCAACCTCTACCTGACCTTCCTGGAGTACGACGGGAACCTGCTGCGGAGGGAGCTCTTTGGGTGCCCCAGCCTGCCCCACCCCGGGGCGGAGCAGGTGAGAGGGAGCCCCCGCCTCACGGAGCCTCTGGCCCTCTCTGCTCTGCGGGCCCTGGCCTGGTCCGGGCCGGGTCCTCCTGCCCCAGCTCTGTCCCCGCATCCCCTCAGTGGCAGCGGGCCCTGGCACAGCTCGACGGTGAGGATGCCTGCTCTGAGTTCCGGCAGCAGCAGCTCACCGTGCACCGTGTGCACGTCACCTTTCTGCCCCACGAGCTGCCGCCCCCGCGGCCCCTCGACGTCACCCTGGTGGCCCAGCTTTCCATGGACCGGTGAGGGGGCCGAGGGCAGCCCGGGAGCATGGCATGAGCTGGGACTGGGAAGTTCGAGAGGAGGGTTTCATTTGGTAAAGGAAAAGCTGTCACTGCCTGCTGCTGCCCCTTGAGGAATTCTAGAAGTTGGAGACCCTGGATGTGGGGGAAAGAGCCTTGGGCTTTGGGAATCATTCAGGTGCCTGGAACTGCCCCTCCGTAGCTGTGGGCCCACGGGCAAGTCTTAATCTCTCTGGCCCTCAGTTTTCTCATCTGTCAAGTGAGAAAGTACCCATCTTGTGGGGTAGTTGTGAAGATTCCATATGACCAGCTCCAAAAGCGCGTGCAAGGGGCTTAGGAGGTCCTGCGAGGGGGCGTCTGCAGCAGCTAAGCCGGGGACGTGCCGGCCCTCCCTGGGCTGACCGCACCCCTTGCCCCAGGCTGCAGATGCTGGAAGCCCTGTGCCGGCACTGGCCGGGCCCCATGAGCCTGGCCTTGTACCTCACAGACGCAGAGGCCCAGCAGTTCCTGCGTTTCGTCGAGGCCTCGGCGGTGCTCTCTGCCCGGCAGGATGTGGCCTACCACGTGGTGTACCGGGAGGGTCCCCTGTACCCCATCAACCAGCTTCGCAACGTGGCCTTGGCCCAGGCCCTCACGCCTTACGTCTTCCTCAGTGACATTGACTTCCTGCCCGCCTACTCCCTCTACGACTACCTCAGGTGGGCGGGAGGAGGGAGCGAGGGGCCGGGCACGTGGGGCTGGACAGGGCCGGGGCACCTGCAGCATCCTAGGTGGCGTGGCCTGGCTCTTTCCGGGCCTCAGTGTCCGCTGTAAAGTGGGGTTGGCATTAGGGCAGGGGAGCCCCAGCAGAGTAGGGAGGCCGGGCCCTCCTCCCCCAGCAGCTCCACTGTTGGTCTTCTGCGGGTGTCAGGGCGAGCGGGCCCCTGCAGGTCGGGTCCTGCGGCCCAGGCTGGACAGGGCCTGCCCGCTTCCCGCCTGTCACGGGGCTCCCCCCGCAGGGCCTCCATTGAGCAGCTGGAGCTGGGCGGCAGGAGGAAGGCAGCTCTGGTGGTGCCGGCCTTCGAGACCCTGCACTACCGCTTCAGCTTCCCCAGGTCCAAGGCCGAAGTGCTGGCCTCGCTGGACGCTGGTGCTCTCTACACCTTCAGGTAGGAGAGGCCGCTGCTCGCCCCGCTCCGTTCCCCACACTGTTCCCCACACCCGCCATCACCTCCCACGAGCTCCCAGCTCAGCCTGGCTCCTCGCCCTCTCCTGCACCCCAGGTACCACGAGTGGCCCCGCGGTCACGCGCCCACGGACTATGCCCGCTGGCGGGAGGCTCAGGCCCCGTACCGGGTGCAGTGGGCCGCCGACTACGAGCCCTACGTGGTGGTGCCGAGAGACTGTCCCCGCTACGACCCCCGCTTTGTGGGCTTTGGCTGGAACAAGGTGGCCCACATCGTGGAGCTGGATGCACAGGTGAGGGGCGCCCTGCTGCCTCCGGTTTCAATTTGAATACTTGCAGGCCCAGGGAGCTCACTCTGCCTCGGCGTGTTCCACCGCGCCATCTGGTGGCACTATTAGAAATCCCGCTCTTGGGCTGGCCTGGTGGCACAGCCGTTAAGTGCGCACGCTTTGGCAGCCCGAGGTTCGAGGTTCGATCCCAGGTTCGGACATGGCACTGCTTGGCAAGCCATGCTGTGGTAGGCGTCCCACATATAAAGTAGAGCAAGATGGGCACGGATGTGAGCTCAGGGCCAGTCTTCCTCAGCAAAAAGAGGAGGATTGGTGGCAGATGTTAGCTCAGGGCTAATTTTCCTCAAAATAAATAAATAAATAAACCAAAGAAATCCCGCTCTTCTCTAGAGCTAAAATCATCTGGCTGTGGCTCTTCGGGCCCACCTAGTAAGCTGCTCCCCATCCCCCAGGGCTGCAACCCTCCCCCAGCCCAGGCAATCACATCCGCCTGTCCCCGTCCCCACCGGCAGGAATACGAGCTCCTGGTGCTGCCTGAGGCCTTCACCATCCACCTGCCGCATGCCCCGAGCCTTGACCTGTCCCGCTTCCGCTCCAGCCCCACCTACCGGGACTGCCTCCAGGCCCTCAAGGACGAGTTCCACCAGGACTTGTCCCGCCACTACGGGGCCGCTGCTCTAAAATACCTCACAGCCCTGCAGCAGCCCCGAAGCCCGGGCGCCTGACCCGCCATGGCTCCCACGCACTCCCTGCAGACACTGGAGCGACCCCGCTGCCCCTCCCCGCTGTTTAAGTTATTCAAGGTCCCAGCGGGAAGGGCTGGGGCGGGGCGTCCGGGGCGGGTCCTGGGGCCTCCCCTTGCTGCTGTCTCTGGTGGGATCTAGTCTCCCTCCGCCCCAGCTGGTTTGGGGCTGGCTCCCCATCCTCGGCTGTACCTCCCTTTTTCGTAAAGTTTTCAAAGCTCCTTTCCACGTTCCTCCTGGTTCGCGGCCGGGGGACGTGCCCGGTCTCGCTGGAGCCGCAGGAGGACCGGGCCCTCCCCGGAGGCCATCTGGAGTGTGCCTCGCCCACCCTGCCCCCCACCCCGAGCCCGACACCACGAGGCTGAGAGACTTTATTTGGCTTTATTTAGTAAAATGTTAAAATAAATAAATACAAATTGATCCGCTGCTCTGTATCCCCCCACCCCCTCAAAACAAAAGTCAAACGAACAAAAACAAAAACTTTGAAGCACAAATCTCCAAATACAAGTTCTACCAAGACTGAAATCACAAAGGGCGCGGACGAGACAGGCGCGGGCGGGCTGGCTCCTCTCTGCTTGGCGCGCTGACCTCTGGCTGCCGGCCTGTCCTGCATGACTGCAGCTTCCCCGGGCTGAGGACCCGGCGGCGCTGGGGAGGGGCCGGGGCCCCAGGCTGCCGCGGGGGCCGGTGGGGTCCTCGGGGAGAAGGGGCTTGTGGGATGGGGGCCAAAGTGGCATTTGTGAGCTCTGCCCTCGCTCTGCAAGGGCTGTTTCTAAGAGTTGCGCCCCGGCCCTCTGGAGGGGGCACCTCCAGCTTCCTCCCCTTCACTCTTAGGGGGCAGAGGAATCCCCCCAGGGCCACCCCTCCCTGGGAGAGGGCCGTAAGCCAGGGAGAGAACGGGTCTCCTGTTTCCTGCCAAGGGTGCCCAGCTGAGGGGTGGGGCTGAGGGCCACAATCATTTAGAGCAAAGTTGCCTCCATCCACCAGAAGCCAGGGAATCTAGAGAACCCAGGGCCTGGAACATGTCCCTGGGCCACCATCCATCCAACTAGCCAAGAGCCTGTTGCCCCTGGGATAAAAGTCTCCTAAATTAAGCCCTTTGGATAAATAAGAAAGAAAGACCACACCCTAAAAGAGAGTGAAGGAGGGAACCACTTAGAGGGTTTGTGAGCTGGAGTGTGAGCCTGAGGAGGCCCCGCGGCCCAAGAGGATGGCAAAGATGGCTGCGGAGGCAAGCGTACAGCAGAGGCTGCGGGCTGGGACACGGCACCCCCCTCACGGGCAGGGCCTGGGCAGCGATGGCGCCCGCTCACGCAGGGACAGAGGCTGCAGGCCCCACCCGAGCAAGGCCCCAGCAGGGCTGCCCCGAGCTGGGTCTCCCGGCCAGGCGCAAGCCGGGGGCCTGCCCCAGAGGACCTGATGAGGAGGAAGCAAGCAGGGCTCCGGCTGGGCTGAGCAGTGGGGAGACAAGACTCGGCAGGCGCCACGGAAGAGGCCTGCAGGAGCACTGGCAGGAATGTAGGCGGGAAGATGCCACCTGGCAGCCCCTGGGCCCGCACTGACAGGGGCCGCCTAGGAAAGCCAGAGCCTGGTGGGTCTGAGGGTCTGTCAGCGGCCGGGCTCGGGGCGTGGAGAGAAGGAGGGAGAGGGGGGAGGCAGCTGGGGTGGTGCAGACGTGAGGGGGTCCCGGGTGGTCACAGGCACACACAGGTCCAGGGCATGGAAGGAGAGCTCTCTTGGCAGGACACTGAAGGAAAAGGAGACTAGGGAACCAGGGTCTTTGCTTGGCAGTAAGGAATGTTCTGGCATTCACGTCCAGTAAATTACGCGGGTCTAGGGGCAGGGCTGTGCTTTGTACGCCATGTGAACTGACCTGCAAAACAGCTCGGCCCTCTGACATTAGGAAGAATCCACACCTCGGCCCTCGGCAAGGTCAGCATGCAAGCGCTCACAGCAGCAGGCAAGGCCCTCGATTCCTAGCCTTGTTTCCTCCCCAGAGAGTCCTCAGCTAGCTCCTTTCAGAGCAAAGCCCTCTAGGGATGATGGCTTCCAACCTCTTTCAAGGACAGACGGGGTTGTGTGGCCACCCGCAGCCTCCAGGCCCAGACAAGCGGGCTGGAAGAGCGCAAGCTGGGGACAGCCCGCTGGGCACTGACCCTCGGCCCACTATTCCTGGACTCGTCCAGGCGCCTCCAGCCCCCTGCCTAGACGTAGCACCGTGGTTTCTGCAAGAGGAAGGGAGCTGCTCTGCCCCCTGGGGTGACCTGGCAGCCTGGCCGGCTCTGAGGCCTGCGGTCACTCCGTCCCCTCTTCTAAGCTCCCTGGGTGGTGGAGGGGAGACACATTTTACCTAAGAAGCATCGCCCTCTGCGGCAGCTGCTTTCGGGATCTGTCTTTGTCTCTCTAGGCCTACCTGGGTGAGGGGGAAACGAATGGGACCTTTTCCGCCCCTCCTATAATCTGCCCGTAACGGGGCCTGGGGTGGCTCACGGGACACGTTCTAGGAGGGCTGGGGAGCAGAGCTTCGGCCGCCCTCCTGCAGCAGAGGTCTCCAGCGGGAGCATCCACTGGACAAGATGTACGTCTCACAAGGCAAGACGTTGGAGATGGTCTGAGCCTTTCCGAACCCTGGTTCTCTCAAGAAGGCGAAGGCCAAGCCCAGGCAAGCACAGCGACTGCAGTGGAAGGTCACCCAGGAAGCTCGTGGGTGGGCAGAGCGGAGTCACCTCCAGCTCTGGTGCCTGGGGCCAGCAGGCAGAGAAAGTGCTGGAGATTCAGGCCTCTCTTCAAAGGCAAAACGGACACAGAGGCCTCCCTGGGGCCCTCTGTGTGACACCACGCACCCTGCAGCCTTCTTGCTCCTCCCTGTTCTTTCTAAGCAGCCATGACTGAGGCAGCCAGCCTGCCCCCTGCGCCCTCCCACCAGGCTAGGATGCATGGGCACCCACGAGCTGCACTGGCCCTCTCCTTCCCAGCCGTCCCCCAGGCACTCGTAATGCTGGTGGCTGAAAGACCGAGAGCAGCACCAAAGGAAGGGGTCTTACTGAGGCACCAGCCTTATGCTCTAGCAAAATCCGCAGAGACAACGGGTGGGGCCCTGACACCACGCACACTCCATCTGGGCTTCCAGAACAGGAGCCCGGATCCCTGCACCAAGGAGAGAGGACAGTCTTTTCTGAGAGGGGAGCCTGAGCACGGTGGGAGGGGTCGGCCCCACCCCCAGGACAGAATCACCGAGACTAGCCCACCAGTCTTGAGACACAAACACAGCAAAATGTCATCATGATCAGCAGGTTCTGTGCTGAAAAAGTATAACTACACAGCATTTTCTCCAGTTCTGACACCTTTTTAATAGAAATCACTGTTTTTAGGAAACAAATAGCACTTTTGTAATTTTTTTTTGTAATTTTTTTTTTACAATGTTTCTTACCTTGATCTTAATTTAAGTAACACTAGGAAGACCTCAATATCTTTTATTTTCTTTTTTAATTAAAAAAAAAAGTTGTTGCTGTTGTTTTCCCCAGATACAAAGATTTTTGCCCTTGCATAAAAAAACAGTGCCCCGACGCTGACACAAGGACGCACACGGACTCACTGACCTCACTGACACTAGACTCCTATTCTACCATGCAAGGCCTCGACTACCCTCAAGGAGACTGTCAGCCTGAAAACCAGCTGTTCTAGTCCTTAGTTTAGTTTGTGTTACCAAAAAAGTAAAATAAACAACAAAATAAAACTTTTTTAAAGAAAAAAGAACGAAAACAAAAATAAAAAAAAAAAAGCGAGAAAAGAAACGTCCCCATTCGATTCACACACACCTGGTCGCGTGCTGCTTTGCTCGGGAGCTTCTCTTATAAATAGAGAAAAGGGATGGAGCTTGTTTTCAAGTAAAGTCACCGATCCACCGTTCTTTCCTTCTGACGCACCCCGGCCTCCCTGCCCCGGCATGCCCGGCTGGCTCCTGGAGAGGGAAGGGAGGGGATCATCCACAGGGATGCGGCCCATCCGCCAGGCAGGAAAGGAGGTGAGGAGTGGCGGGGCACCCGGGCGGGGGGCGGAGCGCTCGGGAGCAGACCTCGGTGGCCATTCTTGGTGTCCACTCTCCGGGCACTGTGCCCCGCCCCGGAGACTATGAAATACTGCTTATTTGATATACTTTTCCCACCCCCGGCCCCCTCCCCCGCCCTCCCCATCCCTCCTCTGGGCACTGGGCTTGGTTCAATCTTGATTTCCTTTTTTTGGTTTTATAGTAATGAAAGTTTAGAAACAGGAAAGCCCACACACTCTTTGGACTTGTCTTCTCTACCTAAACCAACGGCTCGGCAAATAAGGATCTGAAACCTGCTCTCCTCCCTCCGCCCGTCCCTGCTCCCCACCCAACGAAATAAAAACGACCCCATCGTGGCTGTGGAGGCTGCTGCAGGCACACACTGGTGTATAATAGAGAGAGTAAATATATTATTTCACTTGGCATGGTGCTGGCAAAGAACCTCCAGCTGGCACTATTTCATGTAACATGGTCCAATCTTTGCATGTACACACAGAATAAGAAGGATCAATTGGCAAACTCTGGTGCCACCTGGCACAAGCATCTTCTCTCTCTCTGGAACCAAAGAACCAAAAGAATTCTGTACTTTCCAGAAGCAATCCGGCGTTGCTTTCTAGAGTCTTCAGCGCTTGCTCTCCTTGCCGCCGGGATCCCTGGCTTCTCCCGGAGGGCCCGTTATTTAATCTCTTCCGCCTGGTTACAGTTCACCGTGCAGCTCTGGGAGGAGGGGGAGGGGGCCGGCGTGGAGGGGGCGGCGCTGGCAGGGGGCGTGCAGTCCGGGCCGTTGGAGAGGGCCCCCGCAGCGGCCTCAGAGTCTACGGGTTTGGAGAGGTCGATGCCGTGGATGAGGCGGATCAGCTGCTTTACCTTCTCCAGGGAGCTGTGCATCTCCTTCTGCCGGGCCAGGATGGTGTTCTTCATTTCCATGCATTTCTGCAGCGAAAGAGAGGGGCAGGGCCCTGAGCTGCGGCTGTCAGGACGGGCCTGGCGCTCGCTCCAGGGGCATGAGAGCCACTGGCTGCCGTGCCGCCGCCCACGGGGAGGAGGAGGCCCGAGAGGTGAGAGGGGGGGCGAGAGGGTGGTCAAAAGCCAACTCGACTTGACAGCAGGACTTAAACCAAACGTTGAGTCACCCCTACAACAGTAGGCAATAAGAGTCAGTTTAAAACCAGTTCCCACAGCTGCGCTGGCGCGGTGGGCAGGTCTGGGTATGCTTCTGCCACGCTCATGGGCGCTACTGTGTTCGGGGCAGGCCTGAGCTTTCCAGGGTAGGAAATGAGCCAGTGATGCCACAACTAGAAGGAGCCACAACTGAAAATACACAACTATGTACTGGGGGGATTTGGGAGAAAAAGGAAAAATAAAATCTTTAAAAAAAAAAAAAAGGAAATGAGCCGGTGGTGTGTGGATTCACCGTGGGGGCCTCCCGAGGTGCTGGCAGCAGGACTTGGAGGCGCAGCCTGGGGCAGGACAGCGACTTAGCAGAACCAAAGACTGCAGCCAACAGAGCCCCTTCCGCTCGGTCACAGACCGGCAGCCTTCGCCCTCCTGCCCTCGGCCTCCCAAACCTGCGGGCTTCTGTTCCAGGCAGGGAGAGAGGTGGGAGACCTGCCACAGGTGCACGGCGAGGGGGACAGAGCAGGCTCAACTTCGCTCCGGCACGGGGACCTACTCAACGGAAAAGCAAGCTGGCTCCTGTGGGAGGAGCCTCAGCATCCCGGCTGCAAACACCACCCCCGTGCCGGGACAGGCCGGCCTCCAACTGGCCTCTAGAAAGCCCCTGCCTCAGGCCCGTCAGAGGCCTGGCAATGCACTCAGCGCGGCGTGAAGAACGGGCAGAGGGAGGGCCGTGTGGACGGACCCATGGCGCTAGAGAGACTCGCTCCGGCCCCTGCTCTGCGTCCGCACAGCTTCAGGCGAGGCCCCACACTCCTCCCAAACCCACGCGGGAACACACGCGGTGGCGGCCAGGCTGCTGGAGGTGCTCGTTTATCTCTTCAGCCTGGAGGCTGAAGACCCTCTCAGACCAAAGCCAAGAGGCCGCTCCAGGGCCAGACTCTGCCTGGAGGCAAACCTCGCAACCGCCCCAGCGAACTGTTACCAAGCTGAGGGGCTGCGTCAGCCGCGGGGGCCGCGGGCCTGTCACGCACACGGGAGGTCCGGGTCTCGGACGCACGCGCAGGAGCCTCACTTACACTTATGGAACTGCTGAGCTGTTTCACCTTCTGCTCGAGTTGTTCTCGTTCTTGTTTTAAATCTGAACTCCATTTAAGTAATTTCTGTTTCTCTTCTTCTTTTGCTGAAAAAGAAAAATAAAAGGAACGGTTTTTAACAATAAATTCATCGAAAACACCCTTGTGTTCAAAAGGCTTGGCATAGCAGCCGTTTTCCCCACAGCTCCCAGGAGCCGCGCGGCCAGCCCGCAGAATCTGCCGGCCCGGGCCCTGGCCTGGTTCGTGCACAGGGACGCGAGGAAATGTCAGTGGTGTGGGCCTGGCTCCACGTAAATAAGATGCCACTTCTTTCTTCCTCCTCAAGACAGTCCCACACAAACTTTTCACTTCACTCACTAAAAGCTTCTCATTTTTAACTTTAAATTTCCTTTTGAAAACAAAACAAATACTGCCCTTCCAGTACTTTTCTTTTTTTTTCCCAAAAAGGGGAGGCTGCCACGGGAGGAGGCACGGTCACTCCTTACCTGCTTTGTAGGCGATATAGGAATGAACAATTGCTAGAGTTCCAGGCCATGGGATTGCTTCTTCCTTCTTCAGCATCTGCAAAGATTTTTAGAATTTTACCTTGAGAAGGAGGTAGAAACATGCATCCGCTGTGTAATAACAGGCAATGGGGTCTGTAGCTGCTGGCAGACAAAACCAGGACGGCTTGATGGCGGCCGGATGCCAGACCCCGGTCTGTAGTTTCTGGACTACAAAGGTGCAGGCGTCAGCCTGAGAGAACGAGGTCCAACAGCAGCAAGAGCCCAGCCGCCTGAGCCCCGCCTTGAGAGACGTGCCACACGACCCCCAAAGACTCCCCACGGCCAGAGCCACTGGCACACAGTTGCAAGTGTGCCTGATGGCAGCGGCCACTGGCAGCTTCGTCCTTGACCTGACCTGGGCTGCCTGTCTCAACTTCAGCTTTGTGTGTCCCCCAAAGACAGCCTGACCGAGGCAATCACACATCAGTTCCAAATACTGAAGTATCATCTAGACCCCACGCAGGAAATTATCAGAGGGCCACAAAGCAGCAGCAGGGAGAGAAGAGAGACAGAACTGTGTCTACTAACTAGAGCAGGGAGACAGTGGGAAGAGGACCAAGGTTAAACGGGGAAACCAGAATTCTCTCAAGTCAGGATTCCAAAGAACTTGGCAGCAGCCCCAAGCTTGTGGAGCTCCCAGGCTTATTTATTTATTATTTATACTTTGCCTACTTCCGAAAAAGACTTGAGACAGCTTGTAATAAAAACATGAAGATGGAAGGCCGGCCTGGTGGCACAGTGGTTAAGTTTGAGCACTCTGCTTCAGGGGCCCGGGGTTCATAGCTTTGGATCCTGGGTGTGGACCCAGGCACCGCTCATCAAGCCATGCTGTGGCAGTGTCCCGCATACAAAGTGGAGGAAGACTGGCACAGATGTTAGCTCAGGGCCAATCTTTCTCGCCAAAAAAACCCAAAAAACAAAAAAGCCATAAAGATACATTGACAGTTGTGAAAAAGAGATCAGAAACTAAACAGAGAAGGAGAGAAAAGGCTGGGACAGCTAATAATACATTTGCCTTTCAAGTCCATGAAATACTAAGACAGAACTGCCCAGTTAGTTCTCCGATCCTGATGACAAGGCAGGTTTAAAAGTGAAACTGCGTTGCGGCTGGCCCGGTGGTGCAGCGGTTAAGTACGCACATTCCACTTTGGTGGCCTGGGGTTTGCTGGTTCAGATCCCAGGTGTGGACATGGCACTGCTTGGTATGCCATGCTGTGGTAGGCATCCCACATATAAAGTAGAGGAAGATGGGCACGGATGTTAGCTCAGGGCCAGTCTTCCTCAGCAAAAAGAGGAGGATTGGCAGCAGATGTTAGCTCAGGGCTAATCTTCCTCAAGAAAAAAGTGAAACTGTGGTTATTTGAATTAAACCATCAACTGGGCACTTTCTTCTAGGATTTTATTTCCAAAGACGAGTTTCAAAATAATGTAGTGGGTGTGGACCATTCTTAGAGAAAGAGGGAGAAAGTCTTAGGGACTTTGAAGGGACAGCAAGGTAATGAGAGGATAAGTAACTTCACATAAAGGGCGTGGGGGTCTCTGTACCTGCACACGGAGTGGCCGCCGCATGCAGACGACAGAGAACCTGTGGGAGGATGCACGCTGTGTGGGGACAGGGCAGACGTGGCCTGGAGACCCACCTGGAGCGGGGAGAGACCCCGCCATTCCTCCGGATTAGAGGGCAAGGAAGTCCGCCTACCCGCGCCGTTTTTCTCCCCCTGCGCCCCTCGACTGTCTGCCCCACACACAGTACCTGGTCCTGACATCTGGGACAGATCCACATGCCCTTGGGAATCGTTTTCAGAGGAGGGTCTAAGCAGTCCAGATGATACACACGGGAACACGTGTCACACATCAGCAACTGGCCACTTTTTCTGCAAACGCTGCAAAAATCCTCATGGATATCACCCTATGAAATTGAGAGGAAAGGTAAGAGGACAAAAAAGGTAAAATTTGAATGTTAACATGCACATTCTGGATACATATAAATGTCTTAGGACCATCAGCTGTGCCCGTCCGACATGTCACAAAGGTGTTCGAGAGAGGCGGGAACGACCGGTGGCCCGGCCCCGACAGCTCCCTACGGCTGCGGCTCCCCGGGCGGGGACAGTGTTCTGCACTCTCGAGTCGAGTTCGCAGGGAAGCTCTGCAGTCACCTAGGCCAAAATTCCCCTCACAGGTGAAAGCCCAGCATTTGCCACGTTTGCATAGAGTCCAGCCCCCGGACCAGAAAGTTTACAGACACTGAAATCCATTCATCCAAGTGATACAGACAATTCCTGCTACCTGTCATTTCGGGGGCAGTTTAGAAGGATTGGGAAAGAGGACAGACAAGAAGGGGAATTTTACTAAACTCTTTGCTTGCTCAGGGAGAAAAAAATATGGTTAAAGTTCAAACGGGAAAAGATGAAGTCAGGAGCAAATTAACCTCATAGGAGCTTTCGAACAGGAAGGATTTAGAAAGCTGAAGCCACAGCTGGCAATGGTCTCTCAAAACCAGTTTTGGCACTACTGTTCGATGGACCACTCTATTCTGGATGGGTCTATTCCTCCCCATAAAATACCTCACCGGACGGACAAAGAGCAGCCCCAGGGTACTCTGCCTGTCTCACCCGCCATCAGTGACCGTCCGGTCCTCAGGGAAGTCTGCTGGAGCCCTCTGAGCAGAGGGCACCATCGGAAAAAGGCTGATCTACTTAAAATGTGGAGAGGAGAACAGTAGGAAAAAAAAAAAAAAAAAGAGGTACTAAAGAGGCATTTTTGAGCGAAGCAGTCCCTGGCCTGTTGTCTGCACAGGATGAATTCCGCCGATAAAGACACCAGGGAAGGGGAGACTGACGGGATGTGCCAGGCTTAGCCGGCAAGGCAGCGCCACCGCTTGCAGCAGACCCCTTGCCACTTCCAAGGGGCTGTGTTTGATTCTAGGCTATTCTGCCAGAGGGCCTAATTCAGAAATCCTGTATGGGAAGCAATGACAGAAAGCAGTGCTCAATTCTTCCTTTCCACTGAAGGAGCGTATCTCCCCAGGCTGACAATTTCTCCCTAAAGGAAAGGAAACTTTCTCTATAATTCACTAGGGCAGCTGGGGGACTAGGAAACTGGTTATAACTTTTCTAAGTTACAAGATAACTTATATAACTTTTACAGTTACATGGTAATCAGAATGTGGACAGATTTGAATCTTTCTTAGTAAGAAAATATTACCCCTGGGCAGTAAAAAAAGACACTCAGTACACGAGCAAAAGGCACCGCCTGAGACGGCAGCCTAACAGGTTCCGTTCCAGGCCCTGGGAGAGGTCAGGCTTCATCCCTAACCAACCGCGACTTCCTTCCTCACCCTTACAGTCGGGCTATGGGCTGCTCTTCCCTAGAGTCAGTCTTTCTTGACCCTTAGCCCCATGTTGTAAGTCTCTGTCTTTATGAAGTTTATAAAAATTTTAGAGTTTAAGAGAGTGTTTTACATGAACCATAGATAAAATTATCAGTGATGGGGGCTGGCCGGTGGCACAGAGGTTAAGTGCCCACGTTCCACTTCGGCGGCCCGGGGTTCACCGGTTCGGATCCTGGGTGTGGACATGGCACCGCTTGGCAAGCCATGCTGTGGTAGATATAAAGTAGAGGAAGATGGGCACAGATGTGAGCTCAGGGTCAGTCTTCCTCAGCAAAAAGAGGAGGATTGGCAGCAGATGTTAGCTCAGGGCCAGTCTTCCTCAGAAAAGAGAGGAGGATGGGCAGCAGATGTTAGCTCAGGGCTAATCTCCCCCCCCCAAAAAAAAACTAAAAAAAAAAAATTATCAGTGATGAAGTAAACGAGACAAACCGGACATCTTATTCAGAGGGACTTGTTGGGTAAAGAGTTCTGCTCATTTTCCTTTGTAAGGAGAACATCAAGAAGTGGAAAGTACAGAAAATAAAGGTTAAATAATTTCTCTTAAGTTCCTAAAGGAAAGAAACCTCCTATCCTATTTGCACATCCCCTAGCAGCAGGTCTTAATCTTTTTGGTGTCAGGATGTCTTTACACTCATTAAATTACTAAGAACCTCAGAGAGCTTTCGTTTATGTGTTTTATATCTATTGATATTTACTACATTAGAAGCTTTTCAAACTTTTTAATTTTGAAATAATTATAGAATCAGAGGAAGTTACAAAAATAGCATATTAAAAAATTATAAACCCTAGAACACACAAGTGCACATCCAACAGCCATGACGGTGATGACATGGTCACACGTCATGTGGCATCTGAAGACTCCACTCTTGAGAGAATGAGAGTGAAAATGGCAAAGGACATTTTAGCATTATCATGAAAATAATTGTGATTTTATGGACCCCCTGAACGAGTCTCAGGGACCACCTCCCAGACCACCCTTTGAGAACTACCGCCCATAGACACGAATATAAAATGACAAGATACGTATTTCATCCACAGGAAATTGGATCTTTGCCTGAAGAGAGTGGAGGAAAGCCCAGGGAGGTGCTGCGCCAGGTCAAAGGGCCTACGCTTTGCTGACCGACCACACGATTCCCATAAACCAAACGGCAAGCTGAACGATGGCTGGCCCGTGATTCTTCGCTAGCAGCTGAGGACATAAGGTTTTGGAAACACCCTGGCTATATCAATTGCAACCCCATCATTTGCTAAAACAATTTTATAACTGTGTCAACATATCTTCCCTTCTCATAAAAATGATGATAGTGGCAACAAGGTACATCCTGAAGATTAGCACCCGGCTGGGTCTTGTATTACCATGTCCTTCTAGACGGTTATTGATCCCCGGGAAATGCCTGCCTTTCAACTGTGATTGTTTAATTAATGTTCTTGGGGCTCATGCCACCAGCAGAAAACACACAGAGCTGTGTGCTGACTTTAATCACTGCCACTGTCGGGATACAGTGAAAGTACAAGTCAATTATCTTTTTAAAAAATCCATTTCACTACGTTTAACCTGAGAAGTTCTCAACATATTTAGTGGTTTTAGAAAAGCTTTTTTTTACCCTCAGATCTCTGAAAAGAAGAGTGTTTGCATTTTAAGACAAAACCTGGCAGAAGCTTTAGTGTGTGATTTGATCTGAGTGGATCCTTTGGGTTCAGTCTCTCAAAGAAAATCATAAATTCCCTCAGCCAAGAATCACAAAAAATATGAACAACATTGTTGAGGAAAGAGACTCCTAGGCAGAAGCACAAAATCCTCTACCCCCCAGCGTCTGTGCGCCACCTGGAGGGTCCCATCCCGAGACACCCGGAGGGGCAGTCCCTTCGGCAATGCTTCAACTGAGGAAACGCTGGGGTCATCTCTGGGGCCAGCAGACAGGGTTTCTGATGGGCACTCCTGGTGCTAACAGGACAGGCAGAAAACCTGTATCAACGACTATGGCCCAAATCAGGAAAGCTGGAGGAAATGCTGCATTTGAGAGCAAGGCTGGGTCTGAAGCCACCAGCTATGTCTGCGGAAAGAAACCTGCCAGGGGACAGAACTCCTCTATGACCCCGGTCATCCAAAGAGGACACTTCCATTGTTGCCTCTGGAATTTGAACTCAGAATGTGCACATGGAATTCCTTTGCTCTTGGGAGAGGGGTATATCATTAGTAAGTATTGAGAACCTTCAAGTTCAAGGGTCATTTTACCTGAAGATGACCAAAGATGAGCTCTGTAATTCACAAAAGAAATGGGCTACGTGCAGAACGAAGCTGTGCCTTCCCTCCTCACACCTGCCCCTCTTGTTAGCTCCAGGAAGTGGCAGCTACAGCCGTCTGGGTGTTCAGCCAAAAACTCTGCATTCACCCTTGACTGTTCTCTTTTTCTCGTACCCCCTTATCCAATCCTGCTGGCTCTTGAAGCTATATGCAGACTCAGTCACTGTTCTCCAGCTCCACCTCCAGAGCCCTATAAGGCCAAGCCACCATCAGCTCCTGCCTGGACGACTGCGACAGCCTCTTACGCAGGCTGCCTGCTTCCACCCCGGCCCCCCACAGGCTCTTCCCCATGTTCCAGACAGAGTGAGCCTTTCAAAATCCAGGTTGATTCTGCAAACACCTTAAAAATACACGCAGAGGAGAATCATCAAAGGATGCTGAAACCGCTGGACAACAGTTTGTTGGGGAGCAGGACATTTATACAGACTCCAAGCTGCCTCCAGCAGAGAAGAGAGGCACCTCGACGAGTGGAGAAATTTGACGGAATCTAGCTTCCGAGATGAAAGTTAACATCCCCAACAACAGTTCAGACTGACATCACGTGCCTCCTGTTGTGACGCTCTGAGAAGGACTCATCGCCACTTACTGAGGGTTCCCCAATCTACTCCTGAGGAACCCAGTGGACCATCCAGAGGGACACTACACAGCAACTGGCCTGTCTCTTAAAAAATGTCAGTGCCATGAAAGATAAAGCAAGGCCGAGAAACTGTTCCAAAGCAAGGAGACAATATCAAACCAATACACGTCAGTTATCTTGGACTGGATTGCGGGACAGAAAAAACACAGTGCCGCTCAGGCAATGAGAGAGACAACTGGAGAAATCCGAGTATGCACCATATAGCACATGATAATATTTTACCAATATTAAATTTCCTCAATTTGATAACTGCATTGTGGCTATACCAGAGAATATCTTTGTTCTTAGGAGATATACACGGAAGTATTTTGGGTAAAGATTCATGATGTCCGAAACTTCTTAACTAGTTCAGCAAAAAAAGTGTCTGTGCGTGTGTGTGTGTGTGTGCATGTGTGTGTGCAGGTATGTGCGTGCATGTGTAGAGGAGAAGCATATGTGGCAAAATGGAAACACCTGGTGAATTGAAGTGAAGGGTATACGTTTGTTCTTTGTATTGCCATCACAACTTTTCTGTAGATTTGGAAATTTTCTAAATAAAAAGTAGAGAAACGACGTCAAACCCCCCAGCGATCTCCATTCCACTCAGAGTAGGAGCCACGAAGCCCTGTGGGATGGACCCTGCCCTCTGGGGCCCACCTCCCGCCCACCTGCCCCAGCCCGCCTGCCTTCCTGCCGTCTTCCGTGCCAGGTCACTTCCACCTCGGGATTCAGCACTGCTGCTCCCTCTGCTGAGAATGCCGTCCCCACAGAGTCCCACGGACCCAGCCTCCCTCTCTCTCCCACTCCTCGCCAAGGAGTTCCCTGCCGCCTTAACTCCTCGCGCCCTTCCTCTGTCCCACGGCTCCTCACAACTCTAATCACGAGCCCGAGCCGACACAGCCCGCGTTCCCCAGCTACCACGTGCCTCTGGCCGCGCGAGAAGCTCCCTGAGTGCAGGGAGCTGGTTTTGTTCCCTCCCCCGCCCCCAGCCTTGAGAACAGTGCTCGCTCCACAGAGCAGTGCTCAGCAAGCGTTTGCTGAGTGAATTCACTGCTCTGTAAGTGCTCATTTAAAGACTCAGGGCCCTAGTCTACCCTCCTGCAGTGCCTGGTGAAGGGCTTGAAAGTGTTGGACTTTTTCCGGAATCTGTTTCTCATCAACTCTGCTGAATAAAGTTGCTTCAAAGAGCAGTTTTCCGCTTCTTGAATTCTACCTGAAGCAGGAAGCAAGGACCACCAGGGAACACACGCCTCGTCCATCCTCCGCACCCCAACACCGAGGACCTCTCAGTTCCAAGAGCTGATGTCCCCACCCCTTGCCCTTCCTGAGCGCGCATCCACAGCCTCCAAATCCAGCTCTGACAACTGACGGGGCCTCCTGGCGCTCTATTCAACACGACTCGCCAGGACCTGGCAGGACCTGGGCCCAGCAGACAGCTGCCTTGCACGGCATGCGGTGTCCTGCAGGGTGACTAATGGTCCAGGTCACTCAAGGAGATGCAGCCGCAAGGAGACAACATTTGAGAGCGGGGTCCCCGATTTCCGCTCTGAGCGAGCGAGCTTTTCCCACGTTACTTACGTCTGTGGAGGTGGGGCTGGGCAGCGACACAGGCTGCACAGGTGCGGGGAAAGTGAATGTGGTCTCTGGCTTTTCATTTTCGGGGGAGTCAGGATGACTGGATGGGGGGGATGTTGGGGTAAGGGCTCCAAACCCCAGCACTGCATTGTATTTTGGAGGACGACCTATATACCGAGAGAAGGGAACAAAAGGGAAAAAGGGGAGGGAAAGAGGGGGAAAAACGGTCTTACATACCTTTGGCCAGTGCTCCTCATTGGCTAGCATGGAAAGGAAGTGAGGTAGCGGACAGAAGGTTAATACAACAGTCCGAGAGAAGAGAAGCAAAGACTTACACATCATTAGGAACAACAAGGCGAGTCTCAAAGGAAGGGCGGATAAGAGAGCGAGGAGCCTGGCGGGAGGGCCTGGGCACCTTAAAGGGCCTCGCCCTGGGCGGCTCAGGGTGACGTTCCTGGACTGTCACAATTTGAGATTCCTGACGCAAGAACAAGATCCCAAAGCTCCATGGGAGCCAAGGCCAGGAATTAAGAATTTACTTTTCTGGATCTTTTGCACATCGTTCTCTAAGGTTTCTCCGCAACCATCATTCTCACAACAGGACGAATGAGTCTTAGTTCCCACAAATTTATTTAGGATTTCTGCTTTCCCTTCTCTCTCCTAACTAGAGTTTGGTCATTTCACTGCTGTGAGGCTGGAGAAAGACAAAGCGTGGAGGTGAAATTCACATGGACTCTTCTTGCCCTTTGCTGGTAGAGCGAGTGAGAGAGACATTCTGGGAGTAGCTGGAAGCTAAGAGCTAACAAGACCATCTGGGCTTAATGTCTTGAAGCACTTTGGACTTGGGTGCCCTCCCCAGCTGAGGGAGAACCATTGCCCGCTTTCCAGCACAGGTACCCTGGTGAGCCAGGTGTTGAAAAACTGGGCTGCTCCAAACCCAGGAACACTGCTCACCGAGAGGCTTGACCGGAGCAAAAGCGTTCTGGATCAAACCTCCCAGCCGCAGAGGACCCATCCGCGAGCCCCACCGGGTATGGAAAGTCCAGGGTAGCCACTCTTGCCTTATGATCTACCTAAGCCGAAATCCTTGTCCTCCAAGGGCCAGGGTCATAGCTTCTAAGCTGTGAGCGATCCCAAGTGTCTGCCCAGCACACCAAAGGGAAAAAAAGAGCCAGAGAGGTACACAGCTGCCTGGGAGCACGGGCGGATGGTACGCAGGATCATGGCTCTGCCAACAGTTGTGACTGATTTTAGGATTATGCACAAGAGTCACGATTCTGTCGGCCCCTACACAACATTACCTATCTGTGTTAAACTGGCAATGTCTGCAGTACAAAGACAGATCGTACCGGTCTGTCTTTTCTAGGGAATTTAGTGCTGCCAGGAGGGGAAGCGGAAGACGAATGCTCTGTTTACCCACAGAAGGTACATCCTAGGCATTGTGGAGGCAGGCTTTCATCCTCTGACCTTGGCAAGAGACGCCAAGGTCTTTCTGGCTCATTTAACCTCTGTCTTCCTAGCAGACACTGCCCACCAGCAGGCCAATTAGCTGTGGCTTCTGGCTGGGCCGGTTCCTTTCTGAAAACTGTGTCAGAGGTCACTAAAATTGCCCCAAACGAAACAACAAAAAATAACCCATGGTACTGGTTATCGTGGCCCAGGAATTGACAGGGAGCAATTATTTAGGGTTTCCCATGGGAATATTGCGGCTCCTGGAAGGATGGGGCTGATGAAACACTGGACCAGGTCCCGAAGGGTGGGTATGCTCTCTCTTCTGGGGGAGGTGCTGGTAATGGGACAGTTGTAGCCCTGCCTCGGGCAGACAAAGGGTGGGGATGACCTCGAAGCTCTGAGACTGTGTGCACACGCAAAAATTAGTATGCTCCTCCACTCGCTCTGCAACCTTTCCAGCCTGGAACTATAATTCCGGGATCCATTATTATGTGGAGAAAGGGATCTGGGGATGTATTACTGACATTGAAGAACAATTTCAGAACCTTGTTCATGAGCTCAAACTCTGAGCTGTTAGGAGCCACTTAGAGCTGCCCAGCGAGAGCCGCTGCTGGTCTCTGCTCTGCCCGAGTAAGGCGGCCCGCCCACCCGGGGGGCTGGGATCCGGGGACGGCGCTCTCTAGGCATTTCTGCTTTGGGGTCTGTTTTGACAGTGATCTTCTCCACTCAGCTGGAGACACCCTCTTCTCACAGATTCGAACTTCTTGGTATGGCTACCCTCTCCTTCCTAGAAAGACTGCAGCTCATGGAAACCTAAGAGTCACACTCCAGTCTTGCTGGCAGCGGGATGACTCAGACGCTACTGAGAACAGTCTGGCAACAGCAGTGCCCTGTTCTGCTCAACGATGCTAAAATGCTTCCTTCACACGGCGTTCTGCTCCTGTGCCCCTCATGCACAGCCTGGTGGGCCTGGGTGGAAATGCTGCAGTAAGCCCCTGCCCTGAGTCGGCCTTGCCAGAACCCCAGGGAAGGCAGCTTTTGAGTCAACGTACAGAACTCTAGTAAGAACTCTCACTCTCTTTTCTGCCCATTCTCAGAGAGCAACGACAACACTGTTTTCAGGGGATACAGGAGTTAGACAGGCTCCAGGACAACGGGAAGAGGGAGGGGGAAGAAACACAACACAGAAGCCAAAGCAACAGCGAGGAGAGACAAACAGGCGCTCACCTCTCTTCCGGGTCCCAGGGTGCATGGTGCTGTTCAGGTATGTGACTGCGCTCTTCTTACGCTTGGAGGGTTGAAGAGGGAAACGTGACTGGTTGAATAGCATGGTTACTACTAACACTGGCACAAGCTAAAGACCAAGCCCAGCACGCCTGTCCACATGCCAACTAGTTAGTGCTGGTCACCCCAAGGTCTCAGTGCTAACGGGTTTTATCTATGCACTTGGCTCTGAGAGAATATTCCAGAGAGACCTGTTTCTGCTTCACAGGACAGATGTGTTGAAGCCAGGATGAGTTAAATTTTTAAGGGAGGTTTGTATCTGCTCAAACTTAGGAACTAAGCTAAGGGGACAGCAGTGACCAATAAGAATGAAATGTGATCAGCCAGAGACGGACCCACGGTTCCCCAGAGCTGGCCAAGCACAAGCAGGGTACTGCTCTGATGCAGTTTTCAGACGGGAGGGCTGACAAGTCGGACACAAAGCTGGAACGGGGAGGGAAGGGCCTAGCGCGGCCAGCAGTACCTCTGGCTCAAAGACTGCTCCGCTGTACACGGGGTTCGCTGTGGTTCTTCTTTTTCGCTCTTGCCTCTTGCTTTGGATTTCTTGGGAAAGCAAAAGGTTTAGGTTAGAAGAGAGGTAGGGAGAACCTTAAAACCTTAACTTTGTTGTCTGTCTACTGGTTTCCCCACGACGAATCAGAAACGGGGGCAAGTCTCTGTTTCACTGCGGCCTCGGCAGAGGCAAGCACATGGCTGGAAGTAGTACGTGGGCCCACCTACTCCCACCTCTCAGAGGGCAGGGCCACGCTGTCCCCCAGGGTGGCACTCTGTGACTGACAGCTTAACAGCAGACAACGCTTGTAAACAAGCTGTCCCGATCTATTTTTAGATCGCTGGAACACAGGTGTGGATGAACTAGACCCAGACTGAGGAACCACAGGTCCCCATTCTAGAAGAAAATAACCAGGACAGGTGCAGCTTTGTAACTATTCGTAAGATTCACATAAACCAGAGTGACTGAAAAATACGAAGACTTGTCAGCAGGCATTTACTACTGCATGCTGTCAAGAAACAGAAAAGTTCCTCTAAGTGAACAGAAGTCACCTTAATCCAGGCAGCTCGGGGTTCCCTCAGGACAGCAGAGCGGACATATCGTGACGGGAGGGAGAGGGGCTGGTCACGACACAGAGGGAAGGCAAGTTCGACTCCAAAGGAAATAAAGTCCACACTGGCGGAACTGTATTCTACTTGTGTTCCAATTGTCTATTTCAGCAATAAATCTCAATAAATCTCTATTTTCAAGAACAAAGCTCTGGGCCGGAAGCAAGGTGGCGCCGTGAATCTCTTCTCTTACCTTCTAGATGGTCATGTGTCACCAACCCTAGAGACACCATGAAGGCAAGTTTCTGTGTGAGAGAAAGAAAAGAACGTACTTCAGTTTGGGTCCTCACAAAGCAAAGCGCATGCTCCCAGTTAGACTCTTAGGGAAAGCCAATCCAGCGGGCTGCTGGCTCGACGGAGGCCGGGTTCAGGCGAACAATGAGCCAGCGCCCTCCAATGAAGCCACTCTGCAGGCTGCCTGGTCTTACAGGGACCAAAAGAGAAGGACCGGGGCCTAAGCTTCTACTTTCCCGATGACAGAAACCAGCATCCTGAGTGATCTAGGTTGTTTTCAGAAAGATCCTCTTAGAGGGAAGAGGATTTCATACCCGAAAACACACAGTGGTTACAAAGAACCTCCCACACAATCAGCTCAAATTCTAAGGACTTCCCTTGTCATGACAGGTCAGGGCTCCTTACACTGTTACTACCACTGACTGGATAATGCTCGCTCAAAGCTAAATGAGTTTCAGAACGACAGTGGTTCTGTTTGCTACTATGATTTTTCAATCAAACATGCACCTAAAAATTATGGAGCGACTTCTCTCTAAAGGTTGCTCTCAGGGCTCCACCGGAAGCTGACTGATTAGAGTACTGCACCGCAAAGCTGGAACGGCAGATGCTTAAAGCTGGGGAGAGCAGCAGACTGACGCCTGTTTTGCTCTCCTGTTACATGTGGTCTGGAGGGGACGTCTGCATTTGCTGCTGTCCCCCTGCACACGGTTGCTAAACATGCCAAATAATACATCACCGATTTCTCTTGCCAGTGAATAAAGAACGCCATCATCTGTCAGGAGATGAACTCCTGCCCCACTGTTTATACCACAGCTTGGTCTTGAAAAACCCTGACATGTTACCCTCAACATTAAACATCATGATATTTTTCAAGATACTGAGTGTTTTATGAAGACAAAGTCCTTGATCGAGCCACTTGAGAACACAGAAATGTCCTTCGCTGGTACCCTCAGAGTCCTGAAGAGACGTTTTTACTCCACTTCCTATTTCAGTCTCTCAGGTGGGCATCTGCCCCGACAGCCAGAGGACTCTCGTCAGGAAGAGCAGACTTAGACTCCCGGCCCATTTTTTGCACTGCACGTTGAAATGGCATAACTCCGCGGTTGCCAGTCAATGACATTCCTCATTGCCACTACTCCTTCAGATCTGCTCTCTGCTAATAAAGCAGTGTGCGAACGGACGCTCAGATGAACCTTTCTGAAATCAAGCAACAGCCCCGTTCTTGGCCACTCCTATCCAACTCATCTTTGCTAGCCTAGATCAAGCTCCCATAAGAATTATTAAATGGAAAAAAAAAATCTCCTCTCCTGTGGAACAGATTTTCAGTGAGAAACAGAATAAAAAGTGGTCAAGAACTCGTGCCTCATCTGTGTCTCACAGGTATGCCGAGAACTAATTCATTCTCTTTACGGCGGGGATTCTGTCCAGCTAGAAGGTGAGCGGTCTGCCGCTCCACGTGGCGGTCCTCGCTCGCCAACACGGTGCCCTGACTGAGGCATCCTTCAGTTTCTTTTGATAAGGACAGTTTGGTAAGAGCTTGCTCTATTTTTCCTCCTTCAAGCGTAACACTTGTCATTAATTTTTGGATGATTTTACAAGTTTCTCGGCAATTTGCATGACTAGTACCTTCTTTTTGGTTCAAGTTTGGTCCCTTCTTTAAAGATAAATTAAAAATTAATCCATTTCATATCGGAAAGAACGAACATTTGTACGCGTTTTAAAAAAATCTGAACAGGCTTAATAAATCACTGCTTTTTTAAAAAAAACAATGACACAAAGCTTTGATGGCTTCATGCCACTACTTGACATGGTTTCACTACAAGGAATGCACTGAGGATAGAAGGGAATGGATTACTGGGCTAATAAAATCCAACTATCAGATATTCATCATCATATTACCTGCCCACATTTCTTCTCTTTTTTTAATAAAATTAATTTTATTGGAATTATAATGGTTTATAGCATCGCGTAATTTCGGGTGCACACTGTTTATCAGTTCCTGAATAGTTCATCGTGCTCACCCTCAGCAGTCTAATCTTTATCCATCACCATACATACATGCCCCTTTATCCCTTTCGCCCACCCCCAAAACCCCCTTCCCCGCTGGTAACCACTAATCTGTTCTCTTTATCCTGCGCACATTTTTCTTTTATAGCTTCTAGTATAAAAGCATCAAAGTGAAAAATTCTCTTGTTTAAGGACATACAAATTCACATTCTATATTTGTACCAGACTCGTGTTTGCTATTTAAGTTTATAATTCTATCCTCAGTGGTAGCACAGAGGTTACTATTTTCGTCCCTACTTTTAGACTTCAAGGAACTACTTCTGAGCTCCTGATTCATGTGGGATTTGGGGCTCTAACGCAATACAACAGAACTACCAAAAATGCACATGTAACAGCTGTAATGGATAACAGGAAGAGGCCTTAGCTGAGTGAACTGGACATCTTATAATTGTTGGCTGAGGCAAACAAAATATAAGGGTCATTAGGAATGCAATGGGATATCTGGGAAAATGATCGCTAATCTTACATTTCAAATTTGTGACGTGTATGAAATTCCTCGATGCCAGCTCATGGACACCCAAGGGCACACTCTTAATCGGCCCTAGGCCAACGTGACTTGGCCATGACATTACTGCACAGTGAGAAAGCACAAGAAAAGGAAAATCAAGTGATTCAGAGAGCAAGCGTCCATCCTGGCGTGAGAGGCAGCCTCGTGGCACAGATAGCCGCGCCTCTGGATGCCGGGCCTACCTGAGGGTTCTCCTCCCGCTTTGGTTTGGGCGCAGCAGGGGGCGTGACGGTGCGGCTCTCTGTTTGTTTCTCATCGGTTTCTGTGTGGGATTTAATTGTCTAGGAGAGAAAAATGAAATGACAATGCAGAATTCACTTTTTATTAAAAACACAGTGTGACTGTAGCCAAGAAATAAAAGAACACCACACTCAAATTGGAAACATATTAATAAAGAGGTAATGTGGATTTCATTTTGGAAGGGGAAAAAGGAAAATGCAAGGCCCCAGTAGAAATGATTAAATTGCATAACTAGAGTAGACATGAATCTATAAATACAATAGTCTAAATTATACGAAAAGAAAAATCCATGGTTTAATTCCTATGTATAAAAATAAAGTATAAGGCTGCTCTCTATGATTTCAATGTATTTAGGCTGTAGGGGCAGTTTTCCAGAAGCAAGCCCACTCTTGTTACATGTGGGTCAAGCTCCAGTCCACAGTGTGCTTAAGATGTGAGTAATGTCAAAAAAATCTCACACGCACGTTCTTCTATTTCAGAGCAATTCCTATCAGAACCTAAGAGAGGCCACACGACTCCCCTTGCTTGGGCTATTTAAAACCTGCCTGTATCATCCATTAGAGGAGAGAGAGATGCAATTGCCAAGGAAAGGTCATCTTGCAAGACACTGACATTCTGACCACCCCTAACCTCATCTTCCAGACGCATCCATTCGAACAAAAGAAACACCAGTAGCATGACCATCTTCAAGCACAAACGGCAGCTAGCAAATTGGTAGACTGGGCTTGTATTATTATTCTTATCATGACCCAATGCCTAATTCACCTTATGAAGCCCTTGGTAAATACTGAAACAATATTAGAACAGTGGAGATAAAACTGTAAACACAAACCTAATTTACTTTTTCAAAATTAAAAAATTGCAGATGCTAATGGTCTTTCTGTATGGCAACGACAAATAAATAAATGAGAATGAAACTGTCTGGTTATTGATGAGCAGGAGCCAAATGAAAGCCGTTGGTTCTCTAAGCAGAACACTGAAAGTTCTCAAAAATCATTATGTTGTCAAATACTTTACTAGATCTGAAAACCTAACACAATCACAAAGATCTCTCACTTCCTTCCTGGCCACCTGCACATTTTCCTCCTGCTTCTCGTATTACTGCATTAGGAAAGTGTAAACAGCAGCCTTATCAATACCGAGGCAACCACCGTCCGGGGCACAGAGGCTGCCTTGTACCTTTCTTACCAATGTCCTGCTTCTCCTCTATCCTGTAAGCTACTCGAGAGCAGCGACTGTTCTGCAGCCTTTGTGCCCAGTACGGTTCCTCACGCAGTGCAGGCAGACTGCAAAGAGCTGCTGGTCTTCTGAGCGGTGAACATGACCAACCAGGAGAATCACTCACGTCTCCTCTCTCTCATACACATATACTTTTTAACCAAAAAGGACACCTTTCCTCCATAAAACAAACCACCAAACACACCTACAACGGAACACAATGGGAAAGTAGTTTACAGTGACATTCTTAATGTCTTGGCTTTCCAGAAAGCTTATTTTCATAGTTCTCTGAATGTGGAAGGACAGGGAGGCTGACGGAGGAGGGAGAAGAGCAAGTCAGCTGTAAGGACTTGCTGTCTCAAGTTCCTCAGAGTCTTTACTTCCATCTCTAAGGCTGAGTGCAGCACACAGTGGAAATGCCTCTGGGGAAGGGCAGACCAACCCCCTCCACTAAGGAATCAGCCAGAGTTCCAATTTTCTCTCTTGTACAAGAAGAATATAATTATCTCAGGGTTGGATAAAGAATACCAAAAGCATCCAAAAATAAAAATAAAACAATCAAAACATTGGGGAGGTGCCCTTCTCTCATGGACCTCTTGCTCTGGGGTCCAGAGCCAGCTGCCATGTTGTGGACAGCACTATGGAGAGGCCCACGTGATGAAGAACTGAACCTCTTGCCAACAGCCAGTGAGGAAGTGAGGCTGCCAACAAGCACATGACTGAGTCTGGAAGTGGATTATCCAGCCCCAGCTGAGTCCTGAGATGACTGCAGCCTTGGCCAACTAGTTTGATTGCAAACTTGTGAGGGACCCTGAGCCAGAACCACTCAGTTAACATGCAGCCTGATTCCTGACCCTTAGTGACTGTGTGGGATAATAAATGTTTGCTGCTTTAAACAAACAAAAAACATTAAGGTGGGAGAGTGACATCACAGAAATGGCAAAATAAAGGAGCTTTAAGAATTGGTCCTCCCACTGAAGCAACCATTAAGCTAGCAAAAACAGACAGAATCAACTTTTTAGAACTCTGACATCTAATTAAAAAAATAAAACTTACAGCAACCAGGGAGCACTCACTAAAAGAAGAGGCTGTTAAATTTCACTAAGAAAGCGTTTTTCCTCACCCACCTACAAACGCCCACTCCCCAGCTGGGCAGAGGCTGTGGGGACGGTGACCTGCATTCCTGGTGTCACCTGCTGGTGCCGGGGGAGCAATACAGACCTTGCTCTCAAAAACTGGTGGCTGTGCATTGTGACCTGTCTGGTGGTTCCCTGAGCCCTGTGGCAGAGGCTGATCTTTGTTCTGCCCACCTTGGGCTGGAGTGGCTTTTTGGGTGGTGTCTGATAAAAGCATCTAAAGACATATGTTACCCGTAGTCACCTGGTGCAAGAGATGGTGGATGGAGTATGCAGGAGACAGACCCAAAGGCCTGGGGAGGAGGAGGCCGAAGAGGAAGATCTTGGAGGAATAAGGGCTTTGAAGGGCTATCACATATACTGGGGAAGCCAGAGTGCACTGCCCATTCCCAGGGCTAGAGGCACACTAAGATCTGAGAGAACCCTAGGCTTGTACCACCGGTTGATCTTTGAGCTCCATCCAAGAAAGAGGTGAAGACTCAGGCAGAGTTATAGGCAGCCTAGCTTAGCACTGAAAGAGTCCCTGCTCAGGGCCAATCTGCAAAGATCGGGAAAGCTGGGTGGTTTTTTTTTTCTTTCTTTTTTTTGAGGAAGATTAGCCTTGAACTAACATCGGCTGCCAATCCTCCTCTTTTTGCTGAGGAAGACTGGCCCTGAGCTAACACCTGCACCCATCTTTCTCTACTTTATATGTGGGACGCCTACCACAGCACGGCATGCCAAGCGGTGCCATGTCTGCACCTGGGATCTGAACTGGTGAACCCTGGGCCACCGAAGCAGAACGTGCGAACTTAACCGCTGTGCCCCTGAGCCGGCCCCTGGGTTTTTTTATTTACTTATTATTACTTTTTTCTTTTAGGCTCTAGTTGTGTAAGGAAATCTGTCAGGTCATTAGACAACCACTGAGATAACAGAACAGAGATTCCAATGACCACACATGACAAGAAATACAGTCTTTGCAAAATCAGTTTGGAAAAGGCACTGAACAGACTATTGCACCTCTGAACAACCAACAACAACACATCCTGGGGTGGGAGGAGAAGCGAATTTCCCTTATTACCTTGTAATTTCAAAATGAACAGTTTTCACCAAAAAATTAGAAGGCATACAAAGAAACAGGGAAGGATGGCCATTCATAGGAAAAAAAGAAACCGACAGGACTGGCCTTCAGGGAGCCCAGACATGGACTCTCTAGGGAAAAACTTTAAGTCAACTGTCTTAAATATGTTCAATGAGCTAAAGGAAACCACGGACAACAAACTATAAGAAACCAGGAGAACAATGTCTCCCCAAGTAGAGAATATCAATAAAGAGACAGAAATTATTAAAAGAACCAAACAGAAACTCTGGAGCTGTAAAGTACGATAGCTGAAATGACAATCTCTCTAGGGGGATTCAGGCAAAAGGAAGAATCAGTAAACTTGAAGATAGGATGAATGAACTTATCCAGTCTGAGGAGCAGAAAAAAAGAAGATGCAGAAAAAATGAACTGCACCTAATGGACATTTGGGGCAGATCAAGTGTAGTAATGTGTATATTATGGGCTCCCAGGGGGAGAGGAGAGAGGAAAAGCAGAAAAAATATTTGAAGAAATAAGAGTAGCTTCCCAAATTTGATGAAAGACATAAATCTACACATCGAAGAAGCTCAGCAACCTCCAAGTAGGATAAACTCAAAGAGATCCACAACCAAGTGCATTATAACCACACTGTCGACAGCCAAAGGCAAAGCGAGAGTCTTGGACGCAGCAAGAGAGAACTGACGCATCAGTTGTAAGGGCCCTCAATAAGATTAACAGTCATTTTCTCATCAGAAACCAGAGACTGGAAGGCAGTGGGATGACATAAAGTGCTGAAAGAAAAAAACCATCCCTCCAAAATTCCACATCCTGCAGAAAGCGGAGGGAGTGCACTGCTAGTAGATCTGCCCTAAAGAAACATGAAAGGGAGTCCCTCAGGCCAACATAAAAAGACTCAAGACAGTAACTTGAAGCCACAACAAAGAAATAAGAATTCCGGTAAAGCTAAGTACACAGACAAATATAAAACCCAGTATTACTGTGTCTTTGATTTGTAACTTTTCTTTTTGTTTCCTATGTGATTTAAAAGAGAAATGTACAAAATAGTAATTATAAATCTGTATGAGTGAGCCCACAATGTATAAAGATGTAATTGGTGACATTAACAACATAAGGCGGGCCAGAGCCGTACAGGAGCAGAGTTTTTATATACTATTGAAACCAAGCTGGGATCAATTCAAATTACGTTGGTAAAAATTTATGAATGTCAACTATAATACCCATGGTAATCATTAAGAAAAAAACTAAAATATATACAGAAAAGAAAATGAGGAAGACATCACAAGAGAACATTAGGGGGAAAAAACATAAAAGAAGGCAGCACTGGAGGAAGTGAGGAACGAAAAACACATAAGACATGCAGAAAACAAAAGGCAAAACACCATAAGGCCTTCCCTATCAGTAATCAATTTAAATGTAACTGGAGTAAACCCACCAACTAAAAGACAGAGAGCGGCAGAATGAATTAAAAAAACCAACGTGATCCAACTATATGCTGTCTACAGGAGACTCATTTTAGAACCAAAGACACAAAAGGGTTGAAAGATAAAGGTGGATAAAGATATTTCATGAAAACAGTAACCAAAGGAGTATGGAGATGGCTGTACGA